GTTAAAGTAACAGTGCTAAATATTAACCGGGGCTGTAATGCACCAAGCTCGCGTGCGGCCATGTGTTTTTGCACTAGACTTGAAGTACTCAGGTTGTTAACTGCATGAATGGTTATCACCTACCTTGCGCGCTCACTAGCGTAATTCATCGTAAATTTTGAATAAATGACACGAACAACTGCCGTTTATCGGTCGTTCTTTGAAATTAACCTAGCTGTTCAGTGAGAAATTTTCCTGCCAAACTTTTAAGTGCCCGTACATGAGAACCATATATATCTGGAGGCTTAGTTTGAAGTCTTTAAGTTGTACACGGAAGGGATATACCCTTAAAAAGTCAGCCTCTTAGCTTTTCTGGTTGCTGAGTTAGCGATTTTCCCACCAAAACTCTCAAATGCCCGTACATGAGAATCAGGAACACAGGGGGCTGAATATGAAATCTTTAGCTCATACCTGCATACCCAATATCTTTGCAAAGTTTCATCTCTCTGCATTGTCTGGTTCTCGAGATCGCTTCTCCGGCAAAAAATTTACATATTTGCTTAAGACCTTCCGTCTGTGGGATCCAGGCGTTCGGGGGTAATGATATTAAAGCGGATGTGTCGAACGTGGTGTGGACACATAGTCCCGAAGTTTCAGCTTTCTAACTTTTCTGGCTTTCGAGTTAAAAGTGGGTGACAAAAAGTGCGAACACACAGACAAACTCAAAGACAGCCTCTTGCCAATATGCGTTTTTGCTGTGCAGCGCTGTTGCGCTGCTACAGTGAGTAAAAACGTATATTGTCGAGAGGCGAGTAAAGTATGTTGCCCGTGTGTGTGTGTGTGTGTGTGTTCGGAAGTGAGTAAACTATGTCGCTCACTTTCAACTCAGCAACCAGGAAAACTGGGGGGCTGAAATTTTGTGGTCCCTCATGTTTTACCCTCGCATTTTAAAATTTTCTCTCATATGCGCTTAGGTCTCGCATACAGACCTCCGAGAAAAATATGCAAGTTTTCCTGGCGAAACACGATTTCGCGAATCAGACAAGATAGAAGGCTGAAGCTTTGAAGAGATATTCTCTATGCATGTTAAGGCTAAAGATTTCAAAGTTAGCTATCGCGCTCGCTTATATCGTGCGTACGGTCACGTCAGTGTTCGCAGCTGGCACTGTGCTAACTCGAAAATTAGCGGAAAAGCAGTAGCTGAAATTTTGTGGAAGTATTTAGTATTCATATGGGGAATCGTATACCTAAACTGACTCTCGATTTGCACCTGAGCTACGACTTAGGGCACCTCAAAGATATTTGTTGTGAAGTGGCTATTTCGCTCGTCAGACAAGCTACGAAGGTGAAAGTTGGTAAGGACATTCTATATTCAAGTGTGATCTTGATTTAACTTGGAAGTGAAATAATTCAGCTTGAAGTTGCACGCGGACGTGATAAATACTCAGTTTTATCGCAAACTCAAAAGTGAGTGCATTTTGCAGCTTTCATGATCCTCTCCGGACTTCATGCATATTTGCATTTTTTCAGTGAAACAAGCATTCATTGGAAAAACGACCGGGTTTCATGCAAAAACTGATATTCGTATACGCTGGAGGTCCATTCATTCCCATAATGAAACGCATCCATCCCATCCGGAGCACTTTTCCCCTGCATGCAAGAAGAGGCCAAAACGCAGCCAGTATGAGTCTAAGTGTCAAAGTGCAGTGCAGGAACTATTCTTGCTGTTAGCGATCTGCAAGCTTAAAGTAAAAACGCATGATCGCACCGGCAAGCCTGGTGCATTGCAGCCCGGGCTGTATTTACGTATATGCAGAAATACATAAAAAATTAATACCAAAATTACTGCTAAGTTAAAGAAGAAACGAACAATTTACATAGTTACTGTGCAGATCTCCGCCCCTCTTCTACCCCACTTCATTAACCACTTTCCCATCTGCTCGTTTTTATTTGCTCCGTAAAATGTGAACTTACCTCGACTAGACTAGTCTTCAAACAAAAAACATGTGCTTCCATTACTGTGAGAGATGAAGACACTCAGATGAAGCCCGAGTGGCAGCGCTAATTACTGCAACCAGGCGTGGCACGCCTGTTGCTGACTTTCTCTCTTGAGGATAGATTAGAAACGAGCTGGTGGCGTCTTTCTGGCACGTACCCTGTGTCACTTTATCACTGAAAACCAGTGAATAAGTTGTAGAAGGATCGTCCATCTACTGCAAGCTGAATCCTCGACCTTTAGAAATCGATTAGCACTACTTATAATTACATTATTCCTATCAGTACTCTGAGACGCAGATCCGAAGCGTTGCCATTACAGCCGTGTACTGTTCGGCTGTCCCACAAATCGCGAATGGATTTGCGTCATCGGCAACAAATGTTTCTTACGGGGGATCAGCTAAATACACTTGTTACGATGGTTTCGACTTCGCTAGCGGTAAATCAACCGAGGAAATTTTTTGCACCGATGAAGGCCGCTGGACACTCGCTCCGTCATGTAAAGGTATTTAATACGGAAGCTGGAAATTCGTTTGCTCCATTCTTCAGATGTTACATTTTACATCTAGAATATTTGTCACAGGATCCTACTTGGTCATCTTATCCTGGCGATGCGCAACTGGCAACCGCCAAGCTAGTGCCCAAGTATGAGACTCTGTACCATTTTCGTTACTTTTCAGTA